GCTACCCGAGCTGCCCTACGGAAGGTGTGGCGCACACCTCGCTGCGCTACCCGAGCTGCCCTACGGAAGGTGTGGCGCACACCTCGCTGCGCTACTCAGGCCCTTATGCTGTGTGCGTTTTCAGTGCCCGGGGTTCAAAGCTTCCTAAAGAGCCTCAGTGGTACTCTCTTACCAGAAGCCAGATGTCCTTTTAAGACAGGAGCGACCAGGGGCCCAGAGTCCAAGTCCTGAGCACCGCGCTGCTGTGAATCCTGTGTGACCTGGGGGACTGACACAAAGGACAGGGCGTCAGCATCTCCAGGCTCTCTGGAGACTCTCCTCCCCTGCTAAGAGCTGAACAAAGCACAATCAGAGTGGGGTGGGGGAGACAACAAGTGCACACCTTCCCCTTTTTAACGTGGACACATTTAATGGCCACACACCACAGACTCTTGCGTGCCCCACTCCTTTCACCCGGCTTCCAGGGACACATGCCTGAGAAGCTTTTTCTGCTGAGCTAAGAAACCGCAGTGATCTCCACTTGGCTCCTTCCAGCAGGTGACTTGTACAGACTCCCTTCCATGAGGCCTTGGGAAGTCACACAGCTGGGGGTGCTGTTGGCCTGAGCAGACACTTGGGGCAGACGGCACCACAGGGCCTGGGGGGACCTCCTTGGAGACCCCTTTCTTTCTGCTGGCTGCACTGGCTGCTGCCTGCTGGTGGAAGCTCTGACCTGCATGGGTGGAGTGCGCTCAGCTGTGAATTTGCCTTCCGTCCAGCAGGCAGAGTCCCAGAGCAACACGCCCACCTGCCCTTCTCTGATCCCTAAGAGCTGCCCCTGCCTGAGTGACTTCAAGGACGGATGAGATTTGCCCAGAGACACTCCTAAAGATGGATCCCGAGAGGGACTCAGGTCTTCATCGTTCAGTCACTCTACAGTTGTCCTTCAAATTCTTTGCCAAACAATGCCTTGGAAGGAAGCTAGGATGCCTCCACTTGGGGCATCCCTGATGGTCACGCAGACATCACCGGCTTAGACGACAAGCTACGTGGTCCCTGGGACTCTAGGAAAAGTGGACTACACAATTCCAGCATGAAGGTTGCTGCGGGTCTTTGGAAGCTTTTGAGAAAGGCTATTTTCCCACTGAAGGACATTTCTTGAGAACACTGGGTTTTAGCAGATGAGAATATCAGAGAAACCAGATCTCCTTTTCTCTGTTTCTATTTGGTTTCAGCTTCTCTACAGCGAGAGGAGAGTGTGTCCTGAGAGTTGTGACAAGTCAGAACCTCTGTCCTGGGTTTCTCTTCCCTGAGTCCCTTGCTCCCTGGCGTGTCCCTACCTGACTCAGGGATCATAGTCCTGGTGGCAGAGGGCCAGGGCTGCTCATCGGAATCATCCTCTCAGGCAGCGATCCGCAGCTGCACTGTCCTGGACACCGAAGTGAGTGATGCTTCAAGCCCAACATGGCGTTCAGTGTGGCAAAATCACAGGTTCGCAGCCTATGTTGCTCTCTTAGTTCCGCTTTTAGTCTTAATAATTTTGAAATTAGCATTTTTAATTAAAAGTAATAAGCAGGGGCTGGTGAGATGGCTCAGTGGTCTAAAGCACCTGCTTAGAACAAGCTCAGCAAAGCACAGGGACCGCGGTTCAATCCCCAGCACCACATGCCAGCCAGCCCCGCCCCCTGGTGGGCTGAGCTGGCCACACACACACACACACACACACAAATAAAAAAAAATTAAAAAAAATTAAAAGTAATAAGCAACATGATTTGCTCTTTAATAGAGGTAGACATAATTCTGCTGCATAAACTACAGGTGGTTATTTGCAAAGAAACTTTACTCAACTGTTAATTTGAATCACATAAAATATTTTTCATAGCTGACAGGGCTTTATTAGCCCTAATGAAGAATTGTCATAATTTCAAATCAAGCAGGTGCATTCATTGAAATTAAAGTCAAGTCACTTAAAAAGAGGAACTTAATCAGGAGAGAGTAATTTTTTTTGTTAAATGTATTTGGTTGTTACAGGGTTTCCCTATACAGCTCAGACTTGTAGTGATCCTCCTGTTTTTCAGCCTCCCCCACACTGGGATTACAAGGGTGTGCCACTGTGGCCCCTGAACTCCGTGGCTGGCTCAGCCTGCCTTGGGGGTGGGGCTGGCATGGCATGCGGTGCCAGGGATTGAAGCACGTCCCTGTGCTTGTCTAAGCTTGCCAAAGTGGGAGCTTTACTCTGATGAGCTATCTCGCTGGCCCAGAGAAATTTAAAAAAAGATCAGTTACCTCAAATAAGACAACTCATAAAAAACATGGTAAGAGAAGAAATCAAATGAATGACACTTTTAAGCAGACTAACACAGACCCAGATAGACCACGTTCTTCACGGCATACTGCCACCAAGTGGCCAGGTCATGTCTTTGAAAGTCATACTTAACATTCCTCATCATAAAAGTAAACAGTTATAATGAAGGCATCTAAACAGAAAAAAGAAATGGTAGGAAAAAGACCCTAAGTGCACCCTCAGCTCACCAGCTTTCAGTATTTTCACCTGCATTAACATACAAAACAACGCACAGACGCAGGCCCACAGCTCCCTTGCAGCGCCGGAGCACTGTTCCCATCGCCTGTAACCACCAGGGCGCTGTCTAATGCAGCAGAAAGCCTGATAGTATTTTCATTACTGACTGAATATTCATGGTGCTGTTCTTTTGAGCCAATTCTGTCCCTGTGGCAGAATGTTAAATTGGGCCTATTATTCTAACAGGGCATACTTAACTCTTCTCAGAGAGCCCAGACCAAATCTAACTTGGGAAGCGCTGTTTCTGTGGCTCATACACACTGACAGGGAACCTGAGAGTTGGCCTCTAACAGTGTGTCTGCAGGAAATTCAGAGTGATTTCAGCCAAGAAATGCCGTCTCTAGCTGGGAGAAATGGCAGCCGTAGGAAGCTGAGGCCGGAGGAAGCTGAGGCCGGAGGGCCAGGGGTTTGAGCCTAGCCTGTGTAACTCAGTAACTGACAGAAAGCTCATTTTAACATACAAAATCAAAAGGGCTGGGCATGCGGCTCAGTGCGAGGTCCAGCCCCCCCCCCAGCACGCACACCCGTCACAGACGTGGGGCCTTGCTCTTGGACAAAGGGTTCACCACAGTTGCATTCCCTGGCTCACCAAATACCAGGCTAAATCAATCAAATCCACTGAAATCGACTTGGTTTCTATTTGCTTTCTGGAAATGACACCAGAACCTGTCCGCAGCTCTTTGGCGTCTACCATGGGACCAAGTGCATTTTGGTCTCCTCTCGGGATGCGTGTTCAATGAGCCCGTGGCGTGCTGGCCACGCGGCAGCCTCTGCAGGCCTTCCCGTCAGGTAGCCAATACTCTTAGCTTCTAATGCTTTGCCACCTCATCCATCCAATGAGGACAAGAGGCAGTTCTCCAGCCCCGTGTCCCCAGGAAGCAGCTGGAGAGCGGAAGCCCCTGGCCGGCTCTGGGCTGCCACCCGTCCAGGCAGTCAGCAGCTTCCTTTGGAGCGGGACAGCCTGCAGCTGTCCCCATGCGACCCACACGGCTCTGCTGGGCCTGTTACGGCACCTTGGAGCTGCGGGCCCAGCAGGATGGGCCCCTGCAGCAGGCCAAGAGCGAGCGACGGCACTGAAGCAACCTCCTGTCTCCTTCCTAAAACCAGCTGCAGTACTTCTTTGACTGTACCAGCGACATGTGCCAGTCATAGTGTGCTGGAAAGTACAGAAGCAGACGAAGATACAGGTATACAATTCTTTGTTCCCAAACCATTATTTTCACGTTTGTTATGTCTTTCTGCACATCTGTACTCTGAGAGATCACACTCCTTAATATACTGTGTCCTGCCTTTTTTGCTCAATGTTTTATAATGAACATTTCATTATTTTACTAAAAATCATTGAAAACATCATAGTTACGACTATTTAACATTTCACCATGCTTAGACTGTATATGCTCAGCGGTTGCCTGTGCGGAGCCCATACAGCTTAGCAGTTTCAAAGATCACTGTGGACTCAGCTGAGACAGGCTAAGCCTTGACTCTGCTACGTAGAGCTGTACAGCTCGGGCAAGTTGTTGATCCTTTCTGTGCGCTTTCTCCGTCTACCTATAAATGGGTTAATAGCAGGGCTTACTCCTGAGGCTCGATGAGGTGCTTCCTATCAAGCACTCAGCACCAAGTTTTACACACATTAAAACCTTACTAAGTACTGATTATTGCTACTGTTGGACTTCTATCGGTTCTACTTTTACTAGTGAGTATCACTGAGCACAAGTGTCCTTCTCACGTCGCATGATTCCCGTGCCTCTGGCTGTTCCTAATCATGGGGTCAGAGAGCCAGGACCTCTGGGGGTTTCTCTGCTTCCGGCTGGGTTGAACTTTGGGTCAGAGCCATGCCCACCACAGCCAGCGCCCTGCAGCTTTGATCAGAGCTGACACATGGCTCTTTCTGGACTTTTTTCTCAGAAGATTCTAGGTATTCAAAAAAGAGGAGTCATATTAAAAGAGAAGAGACAGAGGGTGTTTTTCAAATTATTGGAGTTCCCCACACCCTCATCCTGTTTTTTTCTTTTTTTAAACACGAGCGTCTTCTTTTGGTTTCTCTCTTCCTAATCTTTACTAATTCAGCTGCACTGCAGCGTTTTAGCGCTACCTTCCGAGGACAGCAGAGCCCCGCAGGAGTAGGTCTGACCCCAGCCCACGCCTATCAGCAAATGAAGACAATGTCCCCTCATGGCCCCACAGGCAGAGAACATGGTGTGCAGAATCACACTTGCCACCATCCCTTGAAAAACAAACCCAAAGCTGAACTGTCCCATGGGTCCATGGATTATGTCATCCCTGTGTACTACAACAGTGATATCTCTGAGGACATTCAAGGCCTCTCTGTATTTGTATTTGGTATGCTTAGGAGGAGGAGGGCTGTTAATGGAAAGAATAAGAGGAAGAAAAGGTAAGATGTAGACGCTGTCCAGGAAATTCTCTGGAATGACATGGACCGTATGGAGGTGACAGTCTAAGTTAAAGTGCAGTGAAACTGTGTAAGACGAGAACTTCCCTCACCACCAGCGGTCGGAGCTTGTCTAGAAGGCAGCATGCCTGTCTCAAGTGCACCCGCTTGCTGCGTTCCAGGTGCCCAACACTAGGACGTGCCTCTCATGGGCATCCTAAGACAGAAGGCAAGTAGGACTGAGGCCCACGTGCATGCCAACGACCCAGCCCAGTCAGTGGGCATCGCCTCCCTCGACTCCAGACTGGGTGTGGAGAGGTGCTACCAGCTTCAGGAGACCGCGCCACAGCCAACACACACGCAGAAGGCACAGCTATGCCCGGGTCTGGGGAGGGCCGCACTGGGGGCTGTGCCTGGCGCGGGAAGACAGGGGCAGGGGCCACGATGCCACCAGTAGGGTTCTCACAGGAGCAGTCTCTAATTTTAAAAAAATACATTTTTAAAAAACGCCTGCTGTGGGCTACCAATGACGCTGCATCACATTTAAGGTCCTCTATATTTAGTTCCAATGACATACTTGAGCTTTGTTCTTTCAGTTGTTCGAAGTTCTAAAAGCTTAATGAGAACCATGAAGGAAATTTTGTGAGAACAAAGAGAAATGTGAGATAGCTGCTGGTACTTGCTTTTCTCTGGAAAATTATCAAAAAAAAAGTATGAAGTACTATCTCTGGGAAACTTCTACAAGTTTCGGTCAAACATTTCAGCTAAGTCATTCTGAGAGACACCACCCTGTCCCAGGCCCCTGACTCATTAAACACATTACAAAGCCCCTGCTGTCTGGGTTTCATCACCTGGGACCTGTGTCATCGTGCAGGGCTGAGAGCCACTCCTGCCAGGGAGCCACTCCCTTTGTGTCCCGCTCATAGTGAACTAGGACAGCGACCCTCACGTGCTCAGGCTGGGCTTTCTACACTGACAGCTGTCTTCTCCCCTTTGCCAGAAGGCTGCACTACCAAGACGGGGCGATGTTTACAGCGGCTGTCAAGCATGGCGGGCAGACACTGAGCTGCACAAAGGGAAGGGTGTGCGCCTGGAGAAGGCGCCTCTGCACCTGTCTGTATCACGCTGCCACTGCCCTACCTGACTCAAGAGTCCCCTAGCCCCAAACCCCTCCTTTGTACCTAGTGCTCACGACAGAGTAGAAATGGTCACAGCACCTCATGGTCCTTTCCTCCTGTGTTTGCCTTTGTACAACAATCCGCACATGATCGGTGCTACCCTGCTGGCCTGTCTGTCACCAGCATCGTGCAGAAGAGGACTTATGGATTCAGCAGCAGAGCCCTGAATGGTGCAGGGCTGGACCCACAGCCTCAGCGCCCCCCCCCCACTGTGACACGTCTGTCACTGGCTGGCGGGCCTCACTGTCCCAATCCGTGCAATGACAAAGTAACTACGTGCGTCCTGGCAGGCTTCAGTGATGGACAGAGAACAGCTTGGCTCTGACGTGCACCCCTGGGTGTCTTTCGCCTTCTCAGTGAAGTGACACAGTGGCATCTAACAAATGTTGACGGTCCTTTATTCTCACAGTGCTGCCCAGAGGCAGCCACCTCCTTGGCCCCTTGCTGAGATGCTGAGACAAGCAAATGCAGCCCAATCCAGAGGGCTCCCTGGGGGCGTTTGTGAAAATGTCATGGTATATTTTGAGGGGCTTCTTGTCTGTCTGTCTCTCTCTCCCCATCCCTACCTTGTTTCTTAGCTCAGTTGTTTAAGTGGCTGCTTCAACAAAGCAGTCAGCCTCAGGTTGCTGTGGCCAAACAGCCTCCTTGCTGAAGGCATTCGGAGCCAGCCCCCCCCACCAAAAAAAAATCCTTGTTTCTTTCTTAGGATAAGATATTAGTTTCCATGAAAATCTGAATATGCTTAGGAAGGAAAAGTTTCTTACAAGTCACTTAACCCTTTGTAAATGAGTGGTGTGTGTGTGTGTGTGTGTGTGTGTGTGTGCGCGCGCGCGCAGATGAATACGGTGATACACACCTAAGAATCTTAGAGAATAAAACAAGAAATTCCTGTCTGAAGGGAACATTATTGCCCACACCGTGTTCCTTTCTAAATAAAACCTTAATTACTGGCAAGGCTGGCCAGCCAACAAACCTCATCATCAAATCGTGACTTGTGCAATTCACATGCTCAATTTTTATTTTCTGTCTTCTCTAGAATGAAACTTTCCTGAAGCAGGAAGCTTTGTCCTTGAGTCAGGGAGACTGTCTAGCCTGGGCACACATTAGAGGTGAAATGGCCCCTTGTTCACGAGCAGGACAATCTTCCCACGGAAAACTATTATTATGAGATGAATTCACTAAGTCACTAAGTTGCCGAGGCTGGGCTTGAACTTGCTACCCTCCTGCCTTGGCCTCCTAGAATGCTGGGGCTACCGGTGTGCACCAGCAAGGCTTCCTGGGTGACTTTTTCAAATTTTCTCTCTCTCTCTTTTTATGTATTTAGGGTAGGGTCTACAGGGTCTTATTATGTAGATCAGACTCAGTGATCCTCCTGTTTTCAGCCTCCCAAGCTTGGGGATTACAGGCACATGCAGCACCACGCCCAGTCTCAGTCACCATCTCAGTGCACCCCAGGGCCAGGGCTGGCACAGCACACCGGGGCTCGAATTCCAGCTGCTGCGCTCTGCTCAAGCAGGCGCTTTAGTCTACTGAGCTATCTGACCAGCCCCCACCGCATGCCTTTTTCAAAAGGATTCTACTAAAGATTTTTAATAAGCACCTTGCAAGGTGCATCAGATCTGAAACTGTGCTTAACTCTTGATCTAATAATTCTGTAGACCTAGAAAAAGAGCATTTATATCTAAATCTATAGAAGAAGTTTACTGAAAATTGTTTGAAAGGAAATAACCTAGATCATGTTCAAGTAAGGATTAGACATATTAGGGTACATCGACACCCTAGAATGCTGTGCAGACACGAGATGGCTTCAACTTTTTCTTTTGTTAAATAGCTTTAAATGAAGTTATCAATTTGAAGAACCTCAAACTAACCTAAGCAAATCAGATTACAAAACAGCATGTAAACCACACGAATGATCATTAAAAAATAAGTGCATAGGAAAAATTAGTATTACATTGATTAAAATGCAAATAACCGGGATTCCTAAATTACACACTGTAATAAAGTTGCATTGCTTTTACAAGTAGAAGACAAAGACGCGCCCTTCTTAGCTTCGCTCTCCTGACCCACGCGCTGCTTCTCACGGACTGCGCCAAGAGAAGGCTGCGGCTCCTTCTTGCTCGCGTGGGAAGCCCAGGGACACGTGCGTTTTCCGAGTTCCCTGATCTGCCTGCATTTCTGCTCCTCGAGGGGCTCTTTCTCTGCAGGAAACAGAAGACTGACCTGGCCCCTGAGGAGGCCACGCTGGTGACCGCACTCCCCCTGTACCTCGGGTGAGTCTTTACCTGAAGAGCTCTGTGGTCCTCTTCCCACTCGCTCGTAGGGTATTTACCTCAGTGGCTCCTCGGCTTTGTTCTTTCTTTTGAGGCAAGGTCTTTGTCGTGCAACTCAGGCTGTCTTTGAACTACTGCAATCCTCCTCCTCAGCCTCTGGAGAGCTGGGATTACAGCTCTATGATTACACCTCTAGATTTCTATGCACCACTGTGCCCAGAAAGCTTCCACCTGGACGTAAGTGCTGAAAAACCTATGTGAGCTTGCTCAGAGCGGCGGGGAGGTGCCCAGGTCTTGGCAAGCAGGTGCTGGGCTAGCCAGCCAATCCCCACAATTAGGAGGTTCCTAGAGTGGCACCAATTACACTGCCAAAGAGGGCTGACATAAAAACCACGCAGGCTTATGCTTGCAAAGCAGTGCTTTAAGCAGTGAGTTATCGATCTGAAGAACCTCACTGGGTGATTCTAGAGTTTATTAAAAACCACTCACACCTGTAATCCCAGCACTTGGGAGGCTGAGGCAGGAGGATCATTGTGAGTTTGAGACCAGCCTGTGCTACAAAATGAGCTCAAGGCCAGCCTGAACTGCACAGTGAGACTCTGTCTCAAAAAACAAAACAAACAGAACAACCAAAAATAATACTCAAGATGTTTGCAAGAAATGCCTCCTTTCAAGATTCCAACCCTTGGCAGTAATGACAGTGGATACACATCTTAAACAAGTGCCACCCAGTGGCTTTCCATGTCCAGAAATGCTTGAGAACAATTTCACAAACTGTACTCACTCTCAACAAAATCAAAGAAGTATGATGATTACATTTCACATTACTACCTGTCACAATTTTGTCCATTTTGGCAGAAGTCAAGCCAAAAAATATATATGCACTTACTTAGACAAGGGTCAGAGGCCCAAAGGAATGTGGTGGAGAAGAAAATCTGTGCACCACTCACCGGTATCAGGAGTTCTGTGATAAAAGGGTGCGCTCCACGGCTGCCAGTGCCTCTTGCCTGCTTCCCGACATCTCACTTGAAATGTGTAATTAGTGTCCGGCTCCAAGAAGAACTCGGCCCACTGTGCGTGTATGAAGCTGGTGTTCAACTCTGTAACCTGAAACAAGTGCACAACACTAATATCAGTGGTGTGGTGTGCTTTAAAACAAAGCCCTTCTGCTTAGCAGAAAGATACGGAGCGCTTGCTGCTGCTGCCTCCCACTTCTAGGCCCTGAGAAAGGAAGAGGGACTGAGAATGTACAAAACACAGAGTCAAGCACATGCTTTAAACGTGAAAGCAAAATTTGTGTTGCTTTGTGTTTGCCAGCTCTCTCCGGCTTATCTGCAGAAACCCCTGATGCCAGCTGTCCTCATGAGGAGCAGCTGACTGCAGCAGCCTTGACGGCCCTTGGTTGTCCCCTCACTCACGGTCTCCCCGCTTCTCCGTCTCTCCACCTTCTCTTTTGCTCTCTGCTATTGAATATTCGGATCAACAATTTTTCCCGAATGATAAAAAGAATCCATTTGCTTTTTTGTTTCCTCTTTTTGAGACAGAGTCTCACTATGTAGCTCAGGCTGGCCTTGAGCTCACTTTGTACCCTAGCTGGTCTCAAACTCACACCGATCCTTCTGCTTCAGCCTCCTGAGTGCTGAGATTATAGGCATGTACCACCATGCCTGGCCTTCTCAGCTTATGATTTTTTAAAAAAATGATCCACAAGCTAAGCTGTTAAACTGGTCATTACTCTAGTTAGGCAAATTTCGCAATTCTCTTTGTGTGTGTATTTGTATGTAAGATAGATACATAAGATAGATACATACATATATAGAGGCTAAATATTTAAGAATGTTAAACCATAAAAAAAAAAAGGAAATAAAAAAGAAAATGCTGGCCAGGGAGCTGGCTCAGTAGAATAAGCGCTTCCCTGGCAAGCGCAAAGGCCTGAGTCCAATCCCTGGTTAAAAAAAAAAAAAAAAAAAAAAGCTACAGGAATAAATTGATAATGTTTTTTAGCACAATGACCTGAAAAAAACAATAAGAAATTATTCCAGACAACCTGGCGCCTGGGAGAGACTGAGGCATTTGCACAGCACCTCCTGGAAGTTGTTTGTAGCAAGTAATTTACAAAAAAAAGCGGTACACACCAGAGGGCAGGTGGCCGATGCATCTGGAGAGGCGTTTATGTTGCCAGAGACTGGGCCAGGTAGATAGCTCAGTGATCGACGCACCTTCCTGGTAACCACAAGGAGCCGGGTTCAGTCCCTGATAGTGTATGCCAGGTCAGCCTTGTGCTGTGCTGGCCATTGAAATTGGGCATGGTGGTATATGTCGCCAGAGACTGAGGAAAGAGAGCTAAAGCTACCAAGACAGAAAAGAAAAGAAAAAAGTGTCACCCTCATGTGGGGAGTCTTCTGTTAAAACCTCTTCTTAGCATCCATCTTGAAAACTCATCATGCATTAAAAATGCAAAATTCATGGACATGTCCTTTGGAGTAGAGAATTCCAACTGGTAGTTCTCGAAGTCTGGCCTCAGAACAGCCCACTGCGTGAGCACAGTCAAGGCTTGGGAGCGGCAGGCCTCTCGGATCTGCAGCCATCCGTCCATTCTGCCCGCGGCTGGACTTTTGAACACACTCACTCAGTTTGGCTCCCTGTCAGTGTTTCTTGCAAGGTTTTTCTTCTCTGTGTGTTATTTATCATCATGTGCACAGATAAGTCCTCCTGAAGAAAAGGGACAGCCTATTCTGAAGATGGAAGTGTGTGTGTGTGTGTGTGTGTGTGTGTGTGTGTGTTTCAAGGGATAGAACCCAGGACCTTGGCAACCAGCTACACCCTTGGTCTCTGCTGCTGCTGCTGCTGCTGATGTTGTTTGTTTTGAGGCAGGGTCTCACTATGCGGCCCAAGCTGGCTTTGAGCTCAATGCGATCCTCCTGTCTCAGCCTCCCCAGTGTGGCATCCCAGGCGTGGGCCACCACACCTGCCTCTTATCCTCAGTTTGTTTTATTTCCAGCCCACTCTGGGCAACTCAGAGATTTAATGAACACTTATCTGACAATTTAAAAAAAATGAAAAAGATATCACCTTCACAGCCTCAGTTCTGGGGGCTGGGGACCCTGAAAGGGGCCTCCCTTGGCATTCTGGGGCGACAACTTGGTTTCTAGCGCATCGAGGGTGGAGGCCAGGAGCCTCGGGCGTCCCTGCCTGCCTCGTGCCAATGCTGCGCCCCTCCCACCCTGCCCGTGCCCTCCTGGGGCTGCCCCCTCTCCAGCCTCCCCTGCACTCCACCCACTCGGCTTTAGCCTGGCACCTGGGGGAGGGAGGCGGGTGGCAACCCAAGTCCCCTGCAGCTCCGCCTCACACCAGCACTTAGCCTTCCGACCCGACCACGAGGGCGAGGGTTTGGTACTTTAGCCCCTGCAGGGCAGGAATGGAGGCTCAGCTGCCCTGTAGCCCGTGCCCTAGAGGGGTTTTACATTTGCTCACAGTGCACAGAAATGAAACGAATCCAGAGTCCAAAAGTAAATCGTATCCGATACAGCTGTGTGCCACTTTAGGCCACGCAGGGACAAGCAAGCAGAGCAGCAGCTTTGTGTCCTAAGCCAGGTGAGGCGTAGGCTGGTGCCCAGCATTTGGGAGGCTGAGGCAGGCATCTGGTCCTTAAATGAAAAGTTCACCAGCTACTGGCTTAGCTTAATTGGAGGAATGTTACCTAATTGCACTTACTTAAAAGGCTTCGGCGTTAGGTACCATTAAAAGCACATGATGAGGATGATAATAATAATAATAATAATAACCAAAGTGTAAATGTGGAGACATTCTTTTAAAAAATCTTTTTAAAGATAGGATCTTGCTCTGCAGCCCAGGCTGGCCTTGAACTCAGCCTTCCGAGTGCTGGGGTTACAGGAGTGCACCACCACACCCGGCTATGAGGCATGAGGTTTGGTTTTGTACCGGGAATTGAACTCAGACCTTGTACTTCGCAGGTAAGCACCGTGTGGCTGAGCTGTCTCCTGGACCCAGTGCTGAGACATCCCGAAAAGGAGAGCAATATAGGAATAGCCGGGGCAAAGCCACCCAGTGCCAGAGAGCCTGGGCAAAGCGTAGGAAAATATGAACACAGGAACGTGCCCAGCAGGTGGCAGATACTCCTGAGAGGGCACAAGGGCTGGCACAGATTGCTGCTGGCACTGTCAGCTCACTTTTTGTTACTGCTGAGACAGCATCTCCCTGTGTAGTGCAAGCTGGTCTTGGTCTCACTATGTAGCCCAGGCTGGCCTTGCGCTCACAGAGAACCTCCTGCCTCAGCCTCCTGAGGTACAGGTGTACTCCACCACACCCAGCTTAGCTTCACTGCTTGGGAATCTAACAAGAGACTTAGATGAAACTGGGGACAGCAGGCTCATAAATGGTCCCCAGGGTGCAATCTGACTTTCAGGGCAGAACTGGAACCAGGTCTCAGATCACAGCTTGGCCTCGCATGGCCAAAGAGACCTGGTGGGCCTTTCCCTCTTGGGCTCCACATCCACCTCTAATGCCCCGAGTTTCCAGATGTCTCTACATGACCAACCCTGCCTAGGGCTCCCTGAGTTAAGGCTGAAGAGGAAAAACGACAGCTGGTAGCACTGAATGACAGCCTACCTGGGGTGCCAAGTAACGTCTTATGTCCTACACAGCTCAACCCTTCCCGACACACAGGGTGTCTCAGCCTCCAGCTTCGCAGTGTGCATGTAGGCCTTCGGGTACACAAAAGCATGGCTGCTCCTGCTGCCCAGCAGGGCTAGGGCTGACTCCAGAGCCAGGACTGGGGCACAGGCTGAGGTGGAGCCAACCTGTGTGGTTTGCACGCCAGTGTCCACCTGGGCGCAGGGGGAACTTTGGATCTCTGCGCCCGCCTGGCCTTTTCTCTGTCTCCTCTCTGCTCCCCTCTGCTCTCTTCTCTTCCTCCCTCCCTTTCTTCTTTCCTTCTCCTTATTTGCTTTTCGCATTGCTGGGGATCAAACCCAAGGCCTTCTCACAGAGCTGCATCCCCAGCCCTTTTTACTGTTTATTTTGAGATGGGCTCACTGGAGAGCTGTCACCAGGCTCAGCTTACACCTGCGGGCTTCCTGCCCCAGCCTCGCAGTGCTGAGTTTCTGCACAAATTCCGCTTTCTCTAGATGCCTGACAAAGCACAGCTGAGCATACTTACCATGTTGTATCCCGTGGTCACCAATGTGGGGGTCGCCCTTGGAGTGACAAGGAGCTAAACACAGAACAGACCCTTTCCATTGCGAATTTGGTCTATTTATTTAGCACTTCATGAAAGGCAGGAAGATCATTGTGTGAAACTGCACTCTGGAAAGCTGCAGTCACTAAGACGGAGCAGCTGCACGGCCACGAGGCCGGGGAAAGGCAGTCGAGCCAGGCGGCTGCAGCCGAGTCCGACCCGGCGTGAGGATGCCGGAGCCTAGCTTACCGTCCACGTGTGGTTGGCAGCGGCTGCGAACCGCATCTCGCAGGACACCTTCTCCAGCACTGTGTTGCTTCCCCAGTAGACGATGGTCTTGGGGGTTGTGGCACCGAGGGTCTCAGCCCTGGAAATGACGGACTCAGACGGAATCACTAGAAAAAAGGACAGCGATGTCACCGTTCAGCCCTTGGTTTCGGGGAAATGGGTGTCATTCCATGGACATCTGGAAGTGGGAAAACTCCAAGTCCTCAGCAACACCGGTGTCCTGATCCAATTTCCACCCAAGGAATCTGCCTGGCACCCCGTCTGGCCCTAGCGGAGAGCAGCTGCTTCTAAAGTCTATTTAGCGCTTCTCTGTTCTTTGAACTTAACTTTCTTTGAGATGGGGCCCCAATCTGTAGCCCCTGCTGGCATCGAGGCCCAGCTGGCTGCAGGGAGGTGGCTCAGGGCTTGTGAGGCCCTCCATTTGCAGTACAGGCAGGAAAATGCCAGGCTAGGGTGGGGACAGGGTCCTATGCCTGCATCATGGGGGTTCTGGCCTGCTGGATGCAGAGAGGTTGGTTGTGACAGGCAGCTCTGGTGATCGCCAAGAGCGCCCGAGCAGGAGAAGGCTGCACAGTCCTGGGCAGTAGGAGCCACGCTGCAGTGTGTGTCACTTCCCCCTAAAAGCCAGGCAGAGGAATCAAGGCTCTGGACTTCGGGACTCCCAGCTCTGTGGCTCAGTACTGGAGATCCCACCAGCCCCGGGTTTCCCCGACTGTAACCCATAACCTTCATCTATGGGCTGGGAGGGCACAACAAAACCTGCACATGCACGCAGCTGGACGCGAACACAAGCTCGATAAATGTTGGCTGCTGGGGTTCTTCCTAATAATAACAGGGTCACCGTGCTGGGCTCTCCTCAGAGAATGAGCCCCATTTGGTGCTCTTTTGTGAGTTCTGACTTGGGGACCTAGTGTAGTAGTAAAACGATAAATTGTTTATTGACTGATATGAGGCTGATGATAGTTTCAGAAAATAACGAGGACTGAACAAAAATGTTCCCCCAGGTTGTTCCCAGGAACAGTTTATAATGGTGAAAATCTGGGAACAGGTAAACCTCCCCCAGTGTGGACCATACAGACACACTCGGACAACAGTGAACACGACACTGGAGCAGAAGCCTGTGGTGGCCCGGTCTGAAGTACCTGAAGAGAAAGCCACCAACATTCCTTCTATCTGGCCGGCAAACTTGGAGAGGGCTCCCAAGTTCTCCTTGATGGTCTACGTATTTTGTTAAACATACAGCCAGAAAACTCCACTTCTGTCCCCAGAGCGTGTCCCCCACCCCCCACGCTCGGTTATGGCCCTTGTGTCTCTGTTAGTTCCTTGGCACTTGGCAAGCTGTTTCAGAGCAGGCGATTTAGCCAAGGTCCTTCACCTGTCTAACTGGCCCCAAGGACAGTTTCCGGAATAGACCCAATAAATTCCTGTCAAGTCACACACATCGCCTAATGGGAAGGACGGACACAGGCGTCAGCTGGACTCGCTGCTGAGCTGCTCCAGGCAGAGGCACAAGGGTCCTTCCTGTCGGTCTGCTCTGACTGCACACCCGGGCTGCATCCGGCTAGGCTGGCATAAGTTCCTATAGTAAGGATGTAGGAATCCCAGCACCCAGGAGGCTGAGGCAGGAGCACCCTTGGCCTACACAGTGAGCTCAACGCCAGCCTGGACTACAATAGTGAGACCCTGTCTTGAAAAATTTTTTTAAAAAAGTAAAGGCTTGGGGCTGGTGAGATGGCTCAGTGGTCTAGAGCACCTACTTGGAGCAGGCTTGGCGAAGCACAGGGACCGCGGTTCGATCCCCCAGCACCACATGCCAGCCAGCCCCGCCCCCTGGTGGGCTGAGCTGGCCACACACACACACACACACACACACACACACACACACACACAGTAAAGGCTTTGTGGCCACATTTTCCTCACCTATGTCATCCAGACGAACACGCAAGGGTCTGGACTCCTCCGTGCCGAGTGCATTTGCAGCCTGAACCTGAACCAGGAACTCCCTGCCGGCGGGCAGCTCCTCAGTGGAGATTTTCAAGTAGCTCGAGGTGGGATACCATCGCTCCTCCCCTGTCTCCAGACTTAAAAGAAAGAGCAACACAAGCTAAATTCAGTGTGGGTTTATTCCTCCACATGTTTATGACGCTACCGCTTTTGGTTTACTTCTTTCAGGCTTGCAACCTCGTGCTCAGAAATGAGTCAAATTTTATTTTCTGAAATTTGAAGGGTGGGCTAAGCTAGCATGGTGGTGCAAGCCTGTCACCCGTGCTCTGGCTGAGCCAGGAGAGTGGAAGGTGTGGGTCTCGGGGCTGATCTGATTTGCTCACCAAGTCCATGGCTCTGTCCTGGGCCACCTTGCTCGCACCTCAGGGGAAGACGTGGCTCAGAAGCCATTGCCATTGCACCCCAGCGCTCGGCTCCGGCCCCTCCCTCCTGTGTCTCCCGCCTGAGACATCCCGCCAGGTCGAACTGCTCAGGCCCTGCTCAAGACAGTGCTGCTGAGACACAGGTGGTGGCGCCTGCGTCCCTGCGCCACCAAGCAATACTGCATTTATTATTACGTTGCTCTAAAGCCACACATGCTTTTTATACAAGAGAGATTGAGAGATGTAATTAATATTTAAATTAAAAATTACAGGACAGAACATGTTGCCATTTATGCTTCTCAAAATAGTCCATTTCAAACACACCTGTCCTTGGTCCTTGTCCTGTGCGACTTCCAGTTTCTCCCCAAAGTCAGAGTGACCAGGAAAGGGAAATGTTTTGAGTCAGTTCAGGATGTCGAGGCAACCAGGACAGCGCAGCTGAAGACCCTCAGGAGAGAGGCCGCCAGAGCTGCTGCAGGACGTGGCTGGGATGTGGGACGGGTGTGATGGAGCTCAGGGGGAGGATTTTTTTGAGGGGCATGGTTCGTGCCACTATGGTTTCTGCTGTTATAATGTTTTTAAGTTGAAAGAGTCACCCCATTTCTCGGTCACAACACATACAGTTGCTAAACACACACAAGCCCTCCTACCAGAGCAGGCTGCCTGAGCAGGTGACCAGGGACCCATATGAGCGAGGCCCAGGTGGGGGCCAGCCCCTGCAGACTGCAGGTTCCCATGCAAGGCAGGATCGATGGCGCCATGCTCGGCAGTGAGTGAGGTAGGAAGGCAAGGTCCAGAGATATCACACACAGCGGGCGAGAGCGTCAGGCTGAGTTAAGGGACTTGTGATTGTTTTCTTGTTTTTCTGAGGCAGGATCTCACTATGCAGCGGCCAGGCTGGCTCCACCGCATGGGGGTCCTCCTGCCTTAGTCTCCCAAGTGCTGGGATCGCAGGTGAGAACCACCACACCTATTTTATCACTTTTATGAAATCAAATGAAACAACACTACCTTGTTTCTTCAATACTGCTTACATCAGCTGGGTGTGGTAGTGCATACCTGTAATCCCAGCGCTGGGAGGCTGAGGCAGTAGGGTTGCTGTGAGTTGAAGCCCAGCCTCAAGTACACAGCAAGACTGTCTCAAAAAAACTAAAACCAAAACCTACATACGTAACATCTAAAGTTGAATTAAATGGCCACATGGTTTCAATATTTTTATAACTACTTAATATTCTAAGTTAAATGGAACATAAATACGCTAACAGAACCTGAGAGGGGATACAGTAATCTTCCCCAAATAAGAACTTAAATGTGACAAGCAAGTGGCAGAGCTGGGCGAGTGTAGGTGGGACACCTCCGAGCATTTTCCAGTTAGAGAAAGCCTCATGCCTATTCTCAGGGCGCACGTGGCCAAGTCTCTCCCTGCACACGTGCAGCCCTGAAGTCAAGTGGAAATGCATTCTCACACCAGCACAGTCAGAGCGACTAAGTTGTTTAACTCTGCTTTCCAGGCAACCCCACATTAGCACCTAGAATGGTCTGCAACTATTTCAGTTGGAAGTCCAGTCATCACGGGTGACTGTCGTGGGACTTTTTACACAGAGCCCTGGAGACACGTTAGGAAACACTGCAGCTGGCTCCTGTACACAGACCTAAGACCTGCGGGGTCTTGGAGGTGCTGGGCATCTTTCTGTACCTGGGGTGCCCTGAGGAGCTGGAGGGGGGCACTGCCTGACAGGGAACCCCAGAGACTCCAGTCTGTGGAGGGACGGAGCACCCCCAGCACTGGCAAAGGCTGGGCACCCAGGGGCCACTGCTGGACTGGCCCTTCCCGCATGCCTGGCCAGATGACGCCCTTATGTGCCTGCTCACGTTACATCCCTCATTGTAAAAGGCCAAAGGGTTCCCAGCACCTGAGTCCCCGTAGTAAATTAACTCTGAGCAGGGGTCTGGGAACCTTGACGGTTAGCCCACCAGCAGCAATGTCACAGTCAGGCATGGTGGCACACAGCTGGGACCCCAGCACTTAGGGAGCTGAAGCAGGAGGATCGCTATGAGCTGGAGGGTAGTCAGGATGTGCAGTGAGATTGTCAGCCTCAGCTACACGGTGAGAACCTACATTGCAAAAAGGCTAGGTCAGGACTTCTGGTGGCGTGGAAGTGAGGGTCAGTCTATAGGCTGGGGACTCCGCTATGCCGTGTGCTGCTGCCAGGTAGGTGGGGTGCACTGCGGGGAAGGTGGACTGGGGAGCTCCAACATCTGTGGCCAGTGACGGACGGGAGGAGAAAGCACCATGGCTGACGAGTGGAGCAGCCTGTGTCTGGCCGGCGTCTGTGCGTGAGAGCCCATGGAACTGATCCTTGCTGACAGGCCTTGGTGACTCCCCCTGCAGCCCCAAGCCTTGCTGTAGCCCCGTGAGCTGATCCTCATGAACCACTGATTCCAGTGCCACCAATGAATGTGGTCTCCCATCTCCTTATCACATAGGCAGCGGGTACTCCCGTAGCCCCAGCCATGCAGCAAGCACTGCTATAGGCTTTGGGAGCACGGGCAAAAGAGACACTTCGCAGTGCTCAGGAAACGCGTTCGGCTGGAAATGAGCACATGGAGGACGTGTCCAGAGCGGGGGCAGCGCTGCACACCTGGGGCCCCAGCGCCCAGTGAGGCCAAGGTGGGAGGGGGCAAGTTTGAGTCCTGCCTGGACAAACTACGAAGACCACTGACTGAGAACAGAGGAAGGCACAGGGCCTGGCCAGGAAGTGCTTGGGCTAGCCAGAGGGCGAAGAGGCTGGCCCAGGACTGCGGTATGGCTGGGGAGAAGACAAGTTTTTTGTTTCTATTTTGTTGTTGTTGCTTCAGACAGGGTCTCACTGTGCAGTTCATGCTGGCCTCGAACTCACTACAGAGCCCAGGCTGGCCTCGAACTCACAGTGGCCCTCCTACCTCAGCTTCCTGAGTGATGAGTATACACCGGCTAGGAACAACTGCTCGAGGAGAGGCTGCCGCTCAGCAGAGTATAGGGCAAACCGGAGGGCCCCGGAGGGATATGGGCCTGGACCCACCATACCAGGAGGGTGCGGACAGGGTCGGGGTGCTTGGGTCTCCACAGGTGCACTGGGAATGAGAGACTGAGCACAGCACCCAGGGGCAGCAGAGGGCACAGAGGGGCATGGGGCAGGAGCCAGAGAGGAGAGCAAGGGGCAGGAAGGGGGTTCACTTGGCAGCAGCTTGGGCAGGAGCTGCTTCCACGGGCAGGAATGAGCTCAGAAAGGCCAGGCAGCCAGGTGCGGTGCCACACACCATTCCTCCCATTCAGGAGGCTGAGGCAGGAGGGTTGCCCCAAGTTCAAGGCCAGTCTGGGCTACAAAGCCAGACCCTATCTCACAAACAAAACTGAACAAAAAAGCGCAAAATTGAATAAAGTAATACATACACAAAAAATAGATACAAGGATATCTGTCTAAAACTATTTGCCTTCCTGATCTTGGGGGCCTGGAATCCCACTGGTGGTGTTGCCAGGGGTTTTCACGTTGTCACTTGGTCCACAGACAGTCCATCAGTCTGTCTCTTTGTGACCGCTTGTTGCAGGACTTCAGACCGGGGCCCTGCGTGACCCTGGCCCTGCCTGGTGCAGGTGTAGCTGGCCAGGAGCCCGAGTCAGGATGAGGAGAGGGCACAGGGGATGGCAGGGGGCGTGAGACCAGCTCCTGGCACCACAGCTTTCCACGTGCCAGTGAGGACAATTGCTTTCTCCTCACAATTCCTTCATCTCATGATCTTGTTCTTCATATGCTGATGAAGAGCCAGGTTTCCTTGCTTAAGCTATTTTTCCCTGGAAATCGAGAGCTAGATTTGCTAGAGTAGGACATTCATTTCATAACCATCACGTTTTTTTTGGTTGTTGTTTTGCTGTTGCTGTTTTCTGAGGTCTTTTGTTTTTTTCTTTCTTTCTTTTTTCTTTTTTTTTTTTTTTAGACAAAGTATAGTTCAGTCTGACCTTGAACTCACTGTGTAGCCCCAGCTGGCCTTGAACTCTCAGAGATCCTCCTGTCTCAGCCTCCCCGTGTGGGGATGGCAGGCATGTGCCACCACCCTGGCTAATTTGCTCTCCTTTAAGACACATGGTGGTACTTGTCCTCACTTCACAGCAGGCCAAGACTAGGCGAGATCAAACGGCTTGTACAAGACCTGTGGCTAACGGTGGCAGATGCCCTTAGGCAGCACCGCCTGTCAGGGCAGCAGAGAGGAGGCTCGCCCTCGGCGCCACCGACCTGATCCCATGATAGCTCTGTGCTGCGTGTGCCGGCCAGGGTAAAGGCAGCCCTGTCTTCTCAGCCACCGCCCCATGCTGTCAAAGGTTTGCAGCCTGAGACACAGGTGGGCGAGCCACACAGCTGGAAGTCAGGCAGAACGCTCCGAAGCCCGCCCTGTGGCTACACGTCCCCGAAAGCCTTCTCGGCTGCAGACCTGCTCTTTCCGTCTCTGAGCCCCAAGAACACGCTGTAGCTCACGGAGCGCTGAAGGCTTCAAAATGCGTATGAGCTGTAGTCCTAACACGTGGGGCTATTCTTGTGCCAGTGAACAAAAGATCAGGAGGTGGTCAGAACATCTGGAATTTTGCCAAACACCTAGACATTCTTGAGGAGAGCTTTGTTCCAGATTTTCCATGCAACCTCGCTGTCAGGAACCTGAGCACACAGGTGTGTGGAATCCCCCAAATCAGCCAGACCCGCAGGAATGCGACAACCGACAGGTAATGAAAAGGGTTGGTGGGGACAGAATGTCAGAGCCCCGCGCACTGTCGGCGGACATGTGGGCAGCAAAGCTGTAGGAAACACTGTGAACCTTCCGCACAAGGCCCAGCAGGCAAGTTCCACCTGCCCCTGCCCCTGTATTCCTAAGTGTGTATCCAGGAGAAATGGAACGGTGCTACCTGCACAAAAGCACCCACACAGGGCTAAGAGAAGCACCGTTCACAAAGGCTCAGGCAAAGGCTCAGGTGTGGAAAGAATCCACATGGCCACCAAGGATAAATGTAACACAACAGAGCCACAGAGTGGAATGTTACTCAGTCTTCAAAAGGACCAAAGTACTAATCCATACCACTATGGAGCGAACCCTGAAAACAAACTGTGTGAACAATCCAGTCAGGAAGCCCACTTACTGTGTGATCCCTTCTCTATTAAGGGTCACATTAGGCAAGTCCTCAGAAATGGAAAGCAGACAATGGTCACCAGGGGCAGACAGACTGGCTGCTGTGGGACGGCGTGTCTTTTGGGCCTGCTGAAAATATTCTGACACTGGCTGACAAATCTGTGAGACACACTAGAATTGTGGAGTGGCACACTTTAGGTAAGGCGGGTGAACTGTATCTATCATAGATAACTACTGAACAAGAGGAAAAGGAGGAAGGGAGGGAGGAAAGAAAAGGAAAGGACGAAGAAAGGCCAGAAAGGGGGGTTAGGAGGTGGCCAGCGTCATGATGTGCATTTGAAAGGTCAGATGCCTTCTAAATAATTCAAACAAAGCCGGGCAAGAGGTCTTCGTCTGCAGCCCATTTTAAGAGATGAAGACTCGGCAGTGTGTGAGGTGGGGTGAAATGGCCAGCCTGGAAGGAGGACAGGGCTTGGGTTTAGCTTAAAGCCCGGCTGAACTACAGCTTGGCTGCTCCCCGCTCCTTATGAATGCACGGAAGGTGCGGAGAGTGGTAGGACCCCAACAGTGGATCAGGGAGGGGCCCGGTTGGGTGATGCTGGCAGCCTGGTCCCCAGAGCAGGATGGGGTCAC